ATCACCTCAGAATTTATCGCCCTAAATTTATCACCTCAGAATTTATCGCCCCAAATTTTCTTACCCCAATAGTTTCTCAACAATGATAAGATTTAACTGTTATTTTCTCTGTAATACTAATGCAATCCTTACAAAATATTGACCTTCTATTACCTATATTCAGTGAACCCTAGTGACGCCGCATTTTTGGCAAATGTTGCCAGAGGGGAAGATGGAACTCTTTTATGCTTGTTCGTTGTGATGTGATATACAGACATGCCTTTCCAAGCATCTGGGCGGAGAGCTAGCCTGGCCATATCATGACGCAAGCCGAGGTTTTTGTTGATCCCCCGCCGTGCATGTGCTATAGTGAAGCTAAGGCACCCACTCGAGGCCTGTTCTGTGTGAAGTGACTGATGATGTTGTCATCAGGATGAAAGAACTGACATCCAATACATGAGACGAGCAAGCCGAACCCGATGGCTACTACGGGTCGGACTAACAGAGGTCCAACAACATGTAGCGCCACTGTTTTATGGCCCTTCTACCATATTTAACAGGTAGATCAAAATACCGACAGCAATTAAACAGGCGGCAAGGCACAGGTATAGCTGCTTCTTGGACATGAGAATGGATAAAGATATAGATGATGGGAAACACGGGGAACATGAGCGCTGGCAACACTGGCTTAAGTCGTTACTAGTCCTCGAGGCCAAAAGTTGCTAGCTGTGCGTCCTGGAAATTTAGATGTGTTGTCGGCTCGTTTTGAACTTTGCGGGGGGCTGATGGTTTTGTAAAGCTGGTAATACAGACAACTGCTACCAACAAAATCACCGCAAGGGACGCAGGGGGGTTGAAAGATGACAAGGCCGGGGTCTGAACTAACGTAGGCGGGCGCTTGGTATGAGCCGATCTCTTATGAGTGATCGACCCGGACCTGTACCTCTGTGTTCCCGTTTTAGTCGCTGCTAGCGGGGAGTCGCCATCTTCAGCAGCCAGGTGCCGCGATAGCCCGTGTCCGGAACTAATCTAAGCGAAATTATTGGGATGAAATCAGATTTAACGCCGCATCCAGAGGCCAATGGCAAGGAAACAGGGGTTAATAGAAGTGAGGGATAAATGTATGTAGCGTGGTCTGAGCTCCAACAGGTCATCTCTCGTAGCGTTACGGTGTAGCTACAAATCTCACGTCCAACAAGAGTTGCGTCAATCGCCGTTGCATCATTGAAGGACTCATACAAGGTTGCATCAAAATAGCACAGCTGGTTTCTAGACCAACCACATCACTCGGACGGAAAAGCTTACCTGGTGGGCCAACATCAAGCTAGAAACGGACCATTTGCTGTCTCTACTCGAATGTTTTGGTACAAGAAAGCACGTTGCGCTTATAGACACTCTGTAGGAGTTGCAAAAGGAAAGGCACGCCTCGTCGTAAAGTTTCCGTTGGTGACCGTTTCTCTATGTCCATTGGCCGCATCGTGTCTAGCTCTGCGCTAACGCTTATGTGCTCTACTACGGTTCCACAGGTATTTTTCACCACAACGGAAGGACAAGGGCGAAATGTGAGCATCATAGAGCTGATAGTAGACTGATCTTGAGATTCCCAGCCAAGATTGGTGACATGGAAGGAAGCTTGACGTATCGATTCAGTATGTGCCCCATTGGAGTTTCCAGCTAATGTCACGAAGCTAGGCGATGAATCATGGGTGGACGACAGACGCCAGGTCAATCGAGCCGCTCATGGGAGCTGGAGTTTCAAGTGTGCGTTACACCTGAGTCCCTGAACTGTTGCATTTATTCCTGTGACCACCAATTTGGCCGAAATCGGGATCGGCTACTGGTCAGAAGGCTGCTACAGGGAGCGGGAAGCCCACTGACATGCCAAAGTTCCCTATTTATTGAGCAATTGAGCTGTTCTTACCCTGTGTCCTTCGTAAAGGAGGCACACTAACAAAAACCTTGGCGTTTCAGGTGTATATTTAGATAGCCTCGGCAGTAGTACCGCTGGAACTAGCGGCCGTGCCGCTTTGATTGCCAGGCCGGGCGCTTAACGTGCAGCACGAGCAGTACTTATATCTAGAGAAGTCGGAAGGCGTATGTTTTTGTGTTTCTTACATCCCCTTCCTAAGGTATTTTTCATACTCACTATCCTCCGTAATTTATGTCGAATATTTTTTTTCATCAATACACGATGGCAACAGTCACATTCGATGCTAGATTTATGCTACCTTTATTGTTCGACAATCTTCATATTAGCAGGCCGTACAAGCGCTATTCGTCACATAAACCGATACTCGAATGTTCGAGAACACCGACGTTTTCAAGCTATACCCTAAAGTCATACTATTCTCGAGCTAGGCAGTCATCAGTATAGCGTGGCCTTGCGATATTCCCTCCACGGCACTCCAGGGTTCGTGATCCATACAGGAAGGAAACTCGAAGTGGTCGACATGATCAGAAACTAGGGGCTTCTCCAGTACGGCGAGCGCAAAGCCAGCGGACAAAGAAGCCGAATGGGAGAAGTTGCGGTCAGATCACGATATGATTCTGAGCTGGATAACCACCGCCCCCAGGAGGAAAATCAACAAAAGGGGATATAGGACTTTCAATAGTAGCGTTGCGTTAACTACAGCATATTGTCAAGGGCTGTACCGTTGTGTATGTGATGCACTGTTACATTTGAAGTGGAGTGGCAGTCAATAGGAGGTAATCCCATTGCAGCTTGGCGATGCGTTGAAGGACGTCCATTGGGAAAGGCATTCATAATTTTATAGAGCAAGCTTCTTCATTGAAGAGTTCACAGTGAAGTAGACAATTCTGTTCAGAAACATGACTTAGTTAGCCTCAGGACACCAAGGCTGGCACCAAACCTTATTTGCCGGCGTCCATAATATCAGAAGGAGTGGCATAGAAGGCCAAGGCGATGATAATGTAAAGACCCATAAGCATAGCACCCTCGAGATAGTTGGACTTGCCGTCCTGAATGGTGTATGTGACGACGAGGACAGATACTGCGAAGGCGACAGTTTGGACTGCAGTTGTTATGTCAGAAAATGTCAAAATAAGGGGTTGGAGCTGCCAAACTTACATGTTTCAAAGTGAAGAGTCATCTCAGCACCAATGATCCAGCCAAAAATGACAAGGAAGGGAGCAACCAGGAGGGCAATCTGGATAGAAGAGCCAACTGCAACACCCATGGCGAGGTCCATCTTGTTACGGAGCGCAACAACAACGGCGGTGACGTGCTCTGCGGCATTGCCAACAATAGGAATCAAGATCAGACCAATGAAATCTCGGCTAATTCCTGAAGTCGTGACAAGGTCATTAATGCTATCAACAAGATAACCGGCGCAGAGAGTAATGAGGACGGTGGTGACGACCAAGACGGCGATAGCGGCAAGGGGTCCCAGAGTGGGCTCCTCACACTCACCCTCCTCGTCATCCTCGTTCTGGTTCTCGGTGTCGAAAAGGTTGCTGTGCGTTCGGAGTTGGAAAACGAGGTAAAGGACGTAGAGCAAGAGAAGAATGATGGCAGTACCACGTGAGAGTGTGAGGATGCTTTGAACCTTCTCATCAGAACCACTCTGGTCGAGGACGGCGTAGAGCTACAGTAGTTAGTCGAGTCGTTCTGTGAGTTTAATTCAACATACAGCTGCCGGGATGACGAGCGAAGCAGAAGACAATGTCATGAGAGAGCAAGTTGTCTGGGCAGTGGCTGAAGAAAAGACCTGCTCTCGTCCATTACCCGACTCGCCTCGATGGATAATACCGCCAAACAGGAAACACATTCCCATAACCAAAAGAAGGTTAGAAAGAATGCTGCCAAGCATTGAGGCCTGGACAAGCTCGATTTCGTTTCGCTGGAGAGCAACAATGCTCACCTAAACACATGGTTAGCCGTTGTGGACAGGGTAAAGCTTGAGTGCTTCGTACAATCAATTCCACGGCGTTTCCAAAAGTAGCATTTAGGAGTCCACCAAGGGTTTCGCCAAGCTTCATCGAGATCTCTTCGGTTGCAAAAGATAGGACAGCGGCGAGAGGGATGATAGCGAAGAAGTTGATGGTGAAAACAGCAGTTGAACTCCAGCCTAGCTTGCCAGCAATGATGCCAAGAGGCACCATGACCAGGAGAAAGTTGACATAGTCTTTCGAATGGTGTAAGTTATAAATGCGACCGAATATCATCAAACATGAACGTACTGCTTAGAAGGGTAACCTTGGCGGTGTGCCAGGAGTAAGCCATACTCCTTACGGCGATGTTGCTGTTATCGATACCGGGGGTATGCTTCGAGTCGAAGAGAAAGGTCATGGTACTCGAGTCTCGACTGAGGCTGGTGTGGCCGTTGCCACGACCATGGCCATTAAGTCACGAGACCGGGAACCGGCCACCCCGGGAACCGGCCACCCCGCTTTTGGCCTCAACACCATAACCTCGATATCTTCAACTATATATGAATCAACAAAAATAAGCTCCTTTTTTATCTAGTTTTTTCCTACTAGTTAGAAAAGCTTATATATATTTAATAAAAACTTAAATAACCTTATTTTCTACCCGTTTTTACTACTATAGTATCCCTTGCTTCATAGACCTCCTTTAAGCCATATACCTTTTGATTTGGATCTAATGTAAGCTTCCTTCTCTTTGAGACCTGTGATTGGTCGATTTTCTCGCTTAATATCCTATTTTCATCCATTATTAAAGCTAATTCAACGGCCCGTTCATCAAGTCCCTTTCCAATCGTCCGGAATAGGTGCCTTTTCGTTGGTGTAAGTGCCTTATTGCCTAATTCGGCTCTTGCAAGCTGCATAACATCAGATAGCTTATGTGGTGTACTAAGATAAGGCAATTGAGAGCTTGTATTGGCTGGTGGTGTAGTCAGATTGCCTAATTGGGCAGCTTGAGCCTCATTTTCATCCGGTACTATATATTTGCTTGATAACGGTCTCATAACGTTAATAGGCCACAAGCCTGATGCAAGCCAGCCGGCCCGGATCCTCTCTTCGGTAAAGGCAGCGGCCCGAGCCTTAAAATAACACCTTAAAAAGGCAGTCTTAGCTGTATTTCCTTGTTCAACGAGGGGGGCTTCCATCTCAAGTTCGCGGCGATATATTAGCTTCAAAAAGCTAAATATAGTTAAATCAAGAGGCTGAAGGACATGTGACGTGTGCGGCGGAAGGTAACAGGGGTGTATATTATGCTTAAAGCAAAGAAAGATAAATTCATCTGTTAAATGGCTGTCATGCCCATCTAGGAAAAGAAGCCTCTTTTCCCCTTCCTTTTTGGGCAATGCCAACGGGATGAAAACCTCCTTAAGCCATAGGGCTGCAATCTCATTAGTGGTCCAGCCCTTCGGTGACGTTGCAAAGCGCCAATTGCCTAAAAAGGAAGGATCCTTCGGAAACCATTGTTGTTGCGGCTGATCACCTTTGAAGATAACAAAGGGAGGAAGGGCCGTGCCGTCGGCACATATAGCTTC